GTGTCCCAAAGCCAGGTCTTTCTTCTCCCCACTCCCCATCCAGCACTCTCCTTCCTTCAGGGATTGGTCATAGCCTTCTTCAGAAGCTTTCTGACAAACACAGGCAAATCTGTGAGGAGGCCATAAGATCACACCTTCCTAAGGAATATTCCTCTGGAGACTGGTTCAACCAGCTGTGGATGTTGTCAAATGGCTCTGGAGGTTTCAGTCTATTTGGGAGATACCCCATGTTCTCCGCATTTGTAGGAAACCACACTGACATCTGCTCCCCAAATTACCTTGTGTGAAGTTGAACGCTCCCACTCCATCGATAGTCCCTGCAGCAAAGCTGTGTCCTAAGGCTGGTTTACAGGTTTTAACCTAAATCAGAAGGGGAGAACAAAGGAAAAGGAGAAAAACCAGTTCTCCTTGGTGTGCCAGGCCCTATTATGAGAATAGAACATTTCCTCGTGCCTTAGGGAGCTCCTGTTCTTACCGTGTGTGTGGCATTGAGTTCCACCGTGACGTCACTCATGTTCACCCACTGGTGAGCTGAGCTGAGGGGTCCTGTGATCTCCTGGGAAGCTTTTTCATACAGCTCCTAAGGGACACACAAGGTGAAAATCCTTGAGGAAGGAACAATCAGGAACCCAGCTCTGCTGAGATAGAGCTACATGGATTATCTCTTCATTCTGTTCACTTGCAAGTCACAATCAGCCTGGAGTGACTTCAGGGCAAGCATCTGAAATGGTGACTAGAGGAAACCACCACCATCAAACCTCCTGCTCTCACTCCTCTGCTTGACCCATCCCAGTTCCTAGATCTGCTGTCCCTGAAATGTTGCCAGAAACAGTCCTTGCAGTGACGTATTCTCACATTACACAAAACCACAGTAGAGAGCCAGTAAATTCAGGTGGCTTTTGGACCCAATGGCACGGGCAACTTAAAAGAACCCATAGGTGGAGGACACTGGCTGAGTAAACGCAGAGTCAAGAGCAAGGTATCTTCTGTGGCTGCTCAAACTGATACATTTTAACTCACATTTGTGTTAGTTTAGGAGTATGATGCTAAATTTGGCCAACAAGTGGCATGTGGTGGTGTCTCTGAGCACTTCTAGGAGGATTTTTCCCAACATGATGCCTCTGAGATAAGTGCATAGGAGGGGAAGATGATAAGGAGCAACATCCACATTACATACCAAGGAGGAATATTGAGATTAAAAGCCCAAACCACTGTTTTAAATCACACCACATACGAATCTGATGAATCTAACTAAAAGTGTGAGCTGGCTAGTCTAAATTTAGGTGTCTAGTCAGATATGTTATACCAGAAAATTTTTCACTACCATTAGGATTTCATACACTGTCCTAAGCTTAACCAGTTTCAGGCTCTGAGTTCTTCTCAATGACAAGAAATAAACAGATCAACAGCAGATTGTAAACCCCATTTATTCATTAACAAAGAAAAATTAGGAAAATTTTCCTTAAACATATATATATATATATGCGGACTTCAGAGTAATTTTAATCTACAAGTATTCACAAAACCAAGTGAAAGATGGTTAGAACATATAAAATCCTGGGTTGGAAGGGACTCACAAGGACCATTGAGTTGCTTAACTCAACATGTATTCCTGTTACAACAGCATTCACACACAGTCTTAAAGCAAAATAGCACTTACCCAAGCTTTTGAGTAGATGTTTTTCCCTATAATTCTTGTGCTCTCAAACATATCTTTCCCAGGACCCGTGGCCATGCACATTGTTGCCTGCAAAGAAATTTGTTTAAATCAATTTATATGGAGAACATGCGGTGCTGCCAAGCAGATGAGCTCACAAGGGGTTGTCATCCTGTGGGAACTGATGGCTTCTTGAAAGCCACAAGAAGATCAGGCAGTGGATTACTACACTGACCTGTGCAGCAAGACCAGAAAACACAGGGTATGAGGGCAAAGCACAAGAAGTTCCTAAAAGTGACATCAGAATAGTCCGAAAAGAGGTGATTTTTTTTTAATGTTCTCTTCATTCACAGTGGTCCAGCACATGGCTCTGTATTTGCTTGTCCCTATCATAAGTCAATGTAGAACAGGCAAGACATACTCACCCCTCCAATGGGACAGGAGCTCTGGGGGTTATCACATGACTCGCCCGTGTTGGCACAGAAAGGGCCTCTCGTGTTGGGAGACACATCTCCCAAGTTGGAGGATGCAAAGGCAGCAACGAAAGAGCCCTGTCAAAACCAGAGGTGTCAGATGGGTGTCAGTTGCCTTGCAGTGTTTGCAAACCCCACCTGCAGGTTTTGCTGGAGCCAAGTCAGCCTTACAGACAGCTGGTGAGTGTGTGACACTGGCAAACACTTCCATAGGGACTGGCAGGACTGGAATGGGAATTTAGGAGTATCCCAAGGGTTAGGGACAGGAAGAGCAAGGGAGAATTGAACACACAGGATGTAATTGCCACTTCAGGGGGACCTTCACACTGCTTTGGTATCCAGAGAGTGTTTTCTCATCTACTCTTTCATCTCAGCAACTTCCCTCAATGTCCCCAGCACCTCATGTTCCTGATGAGATGTTAATAGTTCACTGTAGCACCTTGCACAGGATATTTTTCCCTGCCAGACCTTCATCAAGACTGATTTACTAGGTGAGAGCTATTGGATCTGACTGCAGGAGCTAACATCAAGCAATACTCATCAGAAGCAAGGTTGTTTACACACTGAGAATTGACTGAATTCAGCTCTCACAGATACTCTCATCTTTCCCTCTTTTTTAGAGATAGGACATGTCAACACCAGCTATTTTAATATATTATCATCTCTTAACTCCTTTTCTTGTAAGGCTTCTAGACACAATGTGCCCAACCATACAGCTAAATATTGAATCCTACAAATACTTCTTAGAATGTCAACTCCCACTGACTTTCACCCATAACAACACACTATCACTGAGTCTTGTTAAAAGCTTTTCAATAACCCATTATGAAGAGAAACATTTGCAAGCAGGAATTAGACAGACTTCCTTTAATTCCCATTTTTGCTATGAACTGCATATGCTCCTCTGCCTACAGCATGAAAATAGAAATTGGGCAGCTGTTTGAAGGCATGTGCTAGAGATATACACAGGACACCCTCTTGATCAACTCAGGACTCAAAGCACCTGTGAGATGGGTTCATGTCCATAGTTATATTTCAGGGGAAATAATGCTTTTGAAAGGAGCTGTGTTTGCACTCTGAGGATGGCAAATCTTCTGGATAAATGAAAATAAGCAGGCAGAGCTGGTAGGAAGCCATGAGAAAGAAGTGAACTGATCACAGGCATGATGCCAGACCACAGATGCAATATATGGATCCCTTTGAATCAAGTATCCCACATGTCTTTATAGTGTAGAGTCATAGAATGGTTTGGGTTGGAAGAGACTTTAAAGATCATCTTGTTCCAAACCTCTGCATGGTCAGGGATGCCATTCACTAGACCAGATTGCTCAGGGCCCCATCCAACCTGGCCTTGAACACTTCCAGGGATGGGGCATCCATAACCTCTCCAATTCCCAACAGTTGAATCAAAATAAATTTGGTTCATTCCGAAAGTCTAAATAAATGCTGCCAGTTACTACTTTAGAAAGCCAAGAATACACCTTGCAGTTTCTCTTCTCTAGAGGAACAAAATAAATAACTGAAAGCGTTGATCTCTTTCCTCCCATTGCTGTGTTTACCTGCTGTCTCATTTCCCTGTTTGAAGGAACCTGCTTTGGCCCACAGAAAGCACCCACTCTTCCCCTCCCTGTGGCAGCACTTTTTTCACCCACTTTTTATTAGTCTGAAAACATACCCACCTCTCCAGGAAGCATTCCTTTGTTCTTCTCCTGTTCGAACAAGTAAGATGCATAACCCACATTGTCACTGTTCACCAGATGGTTTGTGTTGTTCATGCTCACTGGGTGCACGGCAAACCAGCTGAGGAGGGGTCACAAGACACACACAGGAAATGCATTGTTTAATCCGTGTATTGGCAAATTGACTTGTTCAATCTGTATATCTGCAGTTCACTTATGGGAATTTTCTTTGAGAGAATACAAACACAGACTCTTGGTACTTAGGGATGGATTAACCAGGACAGAATATTTCCATCCTTTCCATTCCCAGCCAGGAGGGCTCATGGTTATGATGGTCCAGGTCTTGAGGCCACAAGAATTTGTCACCGTAATTATCAGGGCCACCAAGAGCTGTTTCAGATCTGGACTGACTCTTTTACAAGTCCAGAGAATTGTATTTTGGCAGGGATTTTTATTTCCTTGCTTCAAAGAAACAAGGAGGAATCAACAATGTAAAAAAGGTTAAAAAAGATCATATTCATTCTCACAAAAAAGAAAACCCTCCTCATCCTCTTAGCACAAGACTCTGCTTGTGACTTCTAAAGGAGGAAAAAGCAATTATGGTTTTGTTACTGTACATTACTTGGTTTGCTGGCATTGAGCTCTGAACACCATGTGGCCAAAGGTGGCTCTGCAGATCCATTGATAGGACAGTCATCATAAATACTGCCTGTGGGAATGGCATTTTCCCAGGAAATATGGGATGGTAAAGAAAATAATCAAGAGAAGGGAGCCCAAAATGTCCTGGAGATGCCAGAGCCAGGATTTGCTTGGAGGAGCACAATGAGAGCCCCAGAGGGGATTTTTGCACACTTCTACAAGTGAAGAGCAGCTACAGTCATCTTCCCCAGACAGCTTTGGGCCATGCCAAATATTTGTCTAGCTGTAGATGGGACAGGGGCTGCTGCATCTCCCAGAGTAGATGGGGGATGCTGACCTGGATTATGGACCTCACTTACAGTTCCCTCAGAGACCTTCTAGTGACCTACTGGGAGCAGCACTGAACGGGGTAGTGTTGGGCAGGAGAGTTTGTGCACGAAGACACAAATTATACTGAGCTGTGGTTTATGAGGATGTGGAGAAAAACCTGCTCCTTCAGTGGTCAGTACCTGATTAGGCCTAGATCCTCTCCATGCTCATCTACCATCTTCAGCATCACCATTTCTTTATCTGTGTTGGATGAATACCTGGATGAAAACAAAGCAGGGAAATCGCATTAGGGCCAGAGCTGTAGTCACACTCTGCATTGCTCTGACACATTAAATATCCACTAGTATGAACAAGGAAATAAGAAGGTTATTCTAAGTATTACCAGAACACAGCAAGAAGCAGCTGAAAATAGGTGTGAAGGTAAGGAAAGAGTTACGGTTGCTGCCATCCTCAGGTGCTGCTTCTTCAGAGGATGGAGAGAAGAGCTCTCTCCAAACATAAATTCATGCACGCAGGACAGCACTTTAATGCTGTCTAACTCTCTCTTTTTTTAGCATAAAGTCACATCCTTGACCAATGTCTCACATCCTTGGAGTGAGCAACCACAACTTCCAAGCCCACTCTTGAAACTAAAGTTTGGGCATGCACACACCCAAGTGCCCAGGATGGCAACAGCATCATTCTGCCACAGTTTTGACTGCACGTTTTAAACCCACCCAGGAATGACCAAACCCAGCAACTGCAAAGGGGCTGAGTCATGGTCCCAACTGGAAGATTCTCTTCAGGGCTCTGTTTCTTGCCTGCTTGAAGAGCTTTTACCTGCTTCGCTCAGATGCTGGATTCTCCAGATAGGAGAAAGGGCTTCGGTTGATCTGGCTGTTTTCTACAGTGCCTCTGTTTATGAAAAGCCTTCCTCTCTTCATGTTGTCATGTGCTATATCTATGCTCTGAAAAGCAGGAAGACAGGGAATATTAGTCCATGTCTGCAAGGCAT